AGAGTTTCAGAATCCACATCTATAAAGTGGGGTTGTTTAAATCGAAGCACTGATTCAGAGCAAACAACAGCAACAAAAATAATGTTTTAGAGCAAACAACAGCAACTAAATAATGGCTCTGCTTCACCTTTCTTCCCACCCCAGGGAACCTGCAGTCTTTGGGCTCACGCCCATGTCATCCCTAGCAAGGACAGTCACAACATGAAGGCCAATTATTATTATTACTTTACATGTATAGAGTTTTTATGGTGCTTTCACTTCTATTTCCTCATTTAATTGTGTGATAGGCAGGGCCGGGTCCTGTACACCCCCAGGTCTACAGAAGTTGCTGATGGGAGTAAGCCCACCGCAAGGAGCCATGCAAAATTCATGAGTGGCTGGGACCTTTGGCTCCCAGACCAGTCTTGCTTCCACCTGTCTGCTCAGCAACATCCCATTCTACACCACAGCCTCATCTTCCTCCAAGGGATTGTGATGGACCCAGCAGTCCCCAAAGTCTGGATGTTGTTCCAGGAAGTCTGGGTGTGGAGGGAGAGATGAGGCCCATATCTCTGCAAAAAGAAAAATAGGACACTTAAAAATCACAAGAAGGGCTCTTGGCAGCTGTGCAATGCTCCAGTTGACAAGGTTTCCTATTCCAGGAGGATGTTCAAAAGCTGGGAAATGAGATTGTAGCAGTTTTAGGGACCCACAGCAAAGAGGAGGACATGAGGGTGCTCTTAAGTAAGTCAGCTGCTCCAGCATGTTTGGGGCCCAAGGCCCCAGGCATTTGTCTGATTACCTTCCCCAGTGCTTGTGAGGGTCACTGTGTTTTGCCTAAAAATAAAGGAGATTTCCAAATGAGGACTATCACAGCAAAACATCGATTTGAAGCAGGTGTGGTTTTGAGACAGCTTGCACTTCTTGTTCCTTCCAGCGTCCACATGTGTCTCTCACCCTCCTGGTTCCAGTTGTTGTTGCTTCCGCCTTAATATCCCAGGCAAGTGGAACTCCCCATCCCAACCCTGGGCCCAAAAAGGGAGATGCAGGTGGAATGTCTCATCAGGGCGACAACCCTGTGCTGTAACAGTCAGCCGCTAGAGGGACGTGATTCCCTCCCCACACTGAGAACTGTGGCTAAGATGTTCAGTAGGATTTAGGGCCCTAGAGCGTCAGTTGCTCAGCCTATGGAGAACCGTTCCCACCCTCCCATGTGTCAGGAAGGCATATGTGGACCCTGCTAGTTCTGCTTGTTCATAGTTAACTCAGCTATCTCTTTTTGAGGGGGAGAAGGAATAAGGAGGAGGGAGGGAGGAAAAGAATGAAAAAAGAGGGAAGGGAAGAAAGGAGAGAAAAAGGAGAAAGAGGAAGGGAAGGAGCGAAGGATGGGAAGAGAAGATAAGACAAGAAAAGGCAAAGAAGAAAAGAGAAGACGAAACTTCTTTTTCTCTAGCCCCCTGAGGAATTCTGTCAGTGAGGGCTTCCTGGTTTTGCCAGTGGCTCTGTGCAGATTCTGGATATACATTTCCCTTAAGACTGGTTGTCTTCAGAGTAGGCGAAACAAACCAGAACCTCCCATAAATCAGTAGAGGTCACTGCCAAGAGCTTTGTACACTTGCTATCCCTGGCAGTGATAAACTCATTGCATTTGGGAACTGGCCAAAGACCCTGAGTCCCATCTTAATTCTCATTCCCAGAAAAACCTCAGCGCTCCGTTCACCCACCCCCTGTTTACTGTCTTTGTGCTTCTTAGACAAAGCTGGCAAGGAGGAAGGAACAGAGTTCCGTAACTGGGTCTTTCAAAGGCCCCATTTCTTGTCTTGGGAGAGCAGAGGAGGGTAAGGGAGAGTCATGGATCTCTAGACTGTGGGAAAGGGAGGCCCAGGGGGGCGGGGAGACATACCCTACTCTGGCAGAGTGGGTCATCCCATATACACCCATTCCCAGCACCCTGTGTTCACACTTTGTCTTTGGAGCCCTTAGCTCAAATACACGCCCAGGTCTACAAAAGTTGCTGATGGGAGTAAGCCCACTGCAAGGAGCCATGCAAAATTCACAAGTGGCTGGGACCTGAGACTGCTTTGGGAGTTGTAGTCTATCATTTTGTGCATCCATCTTGCCTCGTAGCATCTAAGCTTTATGACAGCAGGGACTTAGTCTGTCTTGTTCAGGCTGTCACCTCAATGCCTGACAGAGTGTTCGTACCTAGTAGATGCTCATTAAATATTTGCTGACTTTGTGACTAAATGTTTAGACATGTGCTTTATCCTGCTCTTTTTTAATTGACAAGTTCTTTCTTTTAATGGACCAGGCTTTTCCATCCCACAGTGAGGCTGGAGGAATTAGCTAGATCAGGGGTGAAATTTGTTGCCACGGCCAGAAGTGCTGGATGAGGAGAGATCTCCTTACTTCTCTTGAGGCAGTAGGGGGGTATTTTGTGAGATAGACCAGGATCTAGATTCATCTGAGAAGCCAGGATAAGAAGCAGGGACCTGTTACCTTGGAGAGGGGTTTGGAGAGGGTCCAGGCATGAGTGATAGGTCTCTCCCGATGACTCAGGAGCCACCTGCCTCTGTCAGCCAGACACAAGCAATGCCTGAGACAAGAAGAAAGAGACAGTGAGTCATTAATATTTGTACCTATGATTTAAATGGTAGAACAATTGAAAGAGCCCACACATGAAAACAAAGACCAATGCAGCGCCTCAGCCTAAGCTCTGAGGCCATTAGAGATGACCCAAGATGCTCCCATGTGGGATTCCTTCAAGCTGAGTGCCAGCCCCACTCCCCTTCCACGCAGAGGGCAGGAACTGACGTGAGCAGAAAGCACAAGTATGGTGCCTGCAAACTCGCCGGATGTTACTCACACAAGCACGTCAGTGAACCTGGAAACAGTGTCACTAACATTGAACCCTGTGCTGGACGCTGTACCCATATAAGAGATAAAGACATATTGTTTCTACCCTCAAGGAACTTACACTAAAGTGGGCTGGATTTTTGTCTGAAAATTGCAGGAAAACACTAGGTGAAGCATGTTCTCACTAAGTTTATGAAATGCACCACGTCTGGATTATCAAAGTCGGTTCAGATCCAAGCCACTGTTGAATTTTGCTTGACTCCTTGCAGTGGGCCATCCCGTTAGCCAGCTTACACCCTGCTTTTGTAAATATGGGGGCATCACAGGAAGAATCACGCTGGTGCCCAAGCTGAAGATGAGTTGGAGAAGGATCCACACGTGGCCAAGGACTTGCTTGCTTTCTGCTCTCACTTTCTTTTGAGGTGGGAAGGGAGAGGCTCCCAGCAAGCCCTCGCCATTGTCCTGGGTTCCTCTGGGTTGCAACAGCAGCCTGGCCAGGCATCTATAAAATGTGCCCCCTAGCTGAGGGGAGGCTGCCCTTCCTCCATCCTCCCCTGAGAGGCAAGTACCCAAGGAAGAGGTCCTTAATGACCAGTCTCACCTCTCAACTGAGCACTCTCTCCTCACTGACCAGCTCTTCATTCCCCCAAGCCCCGAGGCCCTTGTCCAGCTTCATGGGATGAACAATGCTTATGTATAAGAGAAGATGCTTCCTCTACCAGGCCAGCCTCTGCCAGCAATCCCATCCTCCCTAGTGAAAGCCCACCATTCCTCTTAACAGGTCCTCCCTTGGGACAGCCAGGCTCTTCTGGACCACTGAGCCACATTTATCCCATCATAACTGATAAATAATGTTTTTCCCATCAACAAATGCCCTTTTTTAAGGCACCAGGCTTACCCTGACCCTGGTGAGGACAGATCTGTGAGGGAGGGCCCACAGACTATAGGAATTAGCTGGAAGTCCAGGGCGAAATTCATCACCAAGGCCAGAATGCAAATGCCTCTAGAAGCCCGGGCGAAGAAGAGAGGGCAGCACACCATAGCATCTGCCCCTCCTGGATGTAAGCCTTAGGCCAGGCGTATTTGCTCACATGCCCTGTAAATGGTTGCCAAGGGCACACTCCCAGGATAGGAGGGTGGCCCTAACATGCACAACTGACCTAATTGCACCTTGGCCTATGGAGTTCTTTTTTTTTTTTTTTAAAGATTTTATTTATTTATTTGACAGAGAAAGACACAGCGAGAGAGGGAACACAAACGGGGAGTGGGAGAGGGAGAAGCAGACCCCCCGCCGAGCAGGGAGCCCGATGCGGGACTCGATCCCAGGACTCCAGGATCATGACCTGAGCCAAAGGCAGTCGCTTAACCAACTGAGCCACCCAGGCGCCCCGGAGTTCTTTTTTTTTTTTTTAATTAAGCTTTTTAATTCACATGCAGCTGTAAGACATACAGAAATGTGCCAGGTACCCAGTTTCCCATAATGGTAACATCTGCAGAACCATAGTATGATATCACAACCCTGATGTTGACATTGCTACAACCACCAAGTGTATCAGATTTCCCAGTTTTACTTGTACTCTTGCGTGTGTATGTGTGTGTGTGTTTAGTTCTGTACAGCACCATCACCCCAAGCATCCTTCATATTGTCTTTGATAAGCACACCCTTCCTTACCCCCTCCCTTCCTTAGCCCCTGGCAACCACTCATCTGTTGTCTAGTTCTATACTTTGTCATTTTAAGAATGTTATACCAGTGGAATCATCCAGTATGTAACCTTCTGGGGATTGGCTCTTTCACTCATCATAATTCCCTCGAGATCCATCCAAGTGGTTGGGTGTACCAGTACTTTGTTCCTTCTCACTGCTGTGCCTGTGGTTTTAATCATTAAACAATATTGCATCTCAACATGGCGCCAAGGCCCAATTACAAAGCCTTTGGGACATGATCCTCGAGGAGATCTTATTCTAAGGGAGAAAATATATTTTGTTTGGTGTTTCTGGGTGGGAAAAGAAAACAAAGCAAACATATCACAAGTGTTTCTAGATCCATGCAAGCGTACCCCAGTTTGTCTCTTTCCTAAAACAGTGGCCAGTTGGGTTGTGACTCCCCGTCCTTAGCAGTGGCTGACCGTTCTCTCTTGTGTCTTCCCGCCTCCGTCCTTCCCAGGAACACATCTACAAGTTGATGAAGAGTGACAGCTATGCCCGCTTCCTCCGGTCAAACGCTTACCAGGACCTGCTGCTGGCCAAGAAGAAGGTAGATCTTTGGGAAGGGCAGGCCTGCCTTTCTTAGCACTGTTGACCCTTACCTGCTGCTTGCTGCTGGTGTCAGATGACAGTATCATCCCTTGGGTTTTATTTATTTTCACTTTTCTTCTTTCCCTTCTCTATCTGCTCCCCGTCCAAGGGAAGACACACAAATAGAATCGTCACCATCCCAGCGCACCCCCAAGGTCCAGGGTGTGGCATCCTGTCTCCAAGTCCCCATTACCTTGGCCTGCGCGTTCGGCCCACAGCAGGGGGTGTGACCAAATACTAAGGCCACAGTGGCTCAGCACAAGAGCTCAGGACTGGCGGTGACGCCCATGAATCCCTTAGAAAACCAGAAAGAGCCCCTCACTGCAAAGTCCGGCCCCCTTCACCACAGACTTTAGATAAAGTTTCACCAGCTCAGTGATGAGGATGAGGCAAGGATCAGGGCAACCCCCTCACTGGGTAGAAAACCTTACAGGTTTCAAGCCCTCCCCCCAATCCCCAGTCTAGCCCCGGAAGTCACTGGTGGAATCGTCCCCTCCCTGATGCCCCACGGTGTTTGCCTTGTCTTTCAACCATGAAATAACTGCACTCTAGCTTCGTATGCCTCCTCCCCTCAGAGTCAAGCCTTGATTCCCTGCAGCCCTTGGTGTCTGGATTGGGGGCCCCCAGGGACCCTCAGCATGTAGGTGATGAGGGGCAGCTAAAGCAGGAAGAACTCAGCTGGATTTCTGGGAGGAGGGAAGGAAGAGCCGGGAGGGGCCTGGGGTCTGGGAAAGGGGAGGCAGGAGAGATGGTCCGGGATTCCTGTATGCCTGCAAACCTTCTGTGCTCTGCAGCTTGGCTCCAAGGCCCCCATGTGGTTAAGTGTGGCTCCCCTTGCACCCAAATCCACAACGTCTATGCCACGCCGCTTAGGACTATGGGCATCACCTCGCCCCCCCTCACAGCCTGCGGAGCCCAGTCCCGAAGCTTGCGGTTGTCCATCCACACGCCCTCTGTCAGCTGCCTCTCCCTGCCACGCAGCCCTCCTCTTTGTGTACTGTCTGTCTGTCTCCCTCGTGTGCCAGGACCCTGTCTGAGCATCTGGTTGGTACCCTCTAACTCCAGAGTCTAGAAAAGCATTTGTATCCCGTTCTCCTGCCCTTAGGTAGCCCTGAGAATATCCCCGAGAGTCTGAGGAAGGAAAAGGGACTTCTGGAACACCCAGACTGTCAGAAACCCAGCTTTATTGGTTGCCTACACTCCTTCCAACAAGTGTCACTACTTGATGGAAAATGTGAAGCCTGGCCTCTTGCCAGCTCCCTTGCAGGAGGGTGTAGGTATTGGGGCTCTGATGGAGGGGAACATCAGATGCCCATTTTTTTCAAGAAAAGCTATGGACACTTCTGGTATCTCCAGCCCAGATCTCATGGGAGAAGGTCAAAATGAATGTTCCTATTTCTCGTGGCTCAAGACCCTGAACTGATCCCAGTTTGGAAAAATTCTAAGGTTCTAGCAGTCTGGCTCATCTGGGGCCATCTACATGCCCAGGAGAGTCCAGAAGCCATTCCGTCCTCTTATGGGTCTCAACACAAAGGGGAAACACACTCCGGCTCGGGGAGTGGAGCTGATACACCTGTGCCCACAGGTCCTCCCATAAGGGGAGAACTTCTCAAAGGAGATCCCTCATGTGAGGAAGGGACCCACGGCTTGCCTGTGAAATGTTACATGTGAAACTGATTAGAACGAGCCTCCCAGCCCCCAAATGAAGGGATGTTCTTTGGCAGAAAAGCTCTTGCAGATGCCAACACCCTTGCAATATCCAGGGGTTAATTGTTTCCAAAAAACAGTGACAAAACCTACTTTTTCTTCCATTTCTCCCTGAGAGTCTCCAGGTGCGGATTGGAGTTGTAACTCGGTATTTTTCAGGTAGGCCTTCCCTGATGTCAGAGATGGGCTTGCTGTGTGATATCAATGTCCAGGTCATAAAGGTATGTGAGGGTCCCACGCTCCAGCTACAAGAGGGGACCTGGATCTCACCTCACTTTTCTGCTTTTCCATCTCATGATGGAGTCTGGAACCACAGCTTCCTGAACCTTCATCCCTAGTTCATCCTCTGTCCTAATATTGTCAAAGATAAGGTTAGCTGCTCTGGCAAACCAGGTTCTCAAGGGGCCGGTGAGCTGGGTTTCGAGTGCTCCTCCAGGACATGCAAGGCAGGAACCCGAATGAGTCAGGCTGATGGCAACCCTCTGTGAGCAGCAACCCAGTAGCCAGAGGACAAGAATGACAAGCACACCGTGCTAGCTGCAGGGCCCAGGACCAGCCTGACCCCAGCCGAGTGTGTGCCGCTTGGGCCGCGAACAGGATTGAAGCTGAGTCCCGCCGTCCCCAGAGCCGAGACTTGGTACGGTAACCTTCAGCTCCTTGTGTGAGGAGAAAGTCCAGCCTGGCTCTGCCGTGGTGTGTCGTGTGTGTGTGTGTTGTGTTTTCCTTCTGCGACGTCCTGTCTCCCTGCAGCCAGGGGAAGGGGTAGGGGCATGACCACCACCAAAGAAGCCCTCTGACCTTGACCGCACAGACAGATGGCTGCCCTTTGCCCACCCCTCTGCTTTCGGCACCCTGCAGACCCACAGGCACCTGGCTGCTTCTTCAGCTCTCCGGTTTCCATTTTTGCTGGGTGTGTGTGTGTGTGTGTGTGTGTGTGTGTGTCCATGTGAGTGACTCTACTCTCCAAATTTCCCAGTCTCAGACTCAGGACCCTGGAACAGGGCTCTAGGATCAACTAGCCAGTATTTGGGATGTAATTCTCTCCCAAACCTCTTCTCAAAGCAGGAAACTTAGGGAGAGGGTCAGGTACACACGACACCCTCCTCTCCTCCTATGGTAGTGTGTGGTAGTGAGCGACTAGGCCTGGAGAGAGGATTCAAGGGCTTTGCCTCTTCTTGCCCCTGGCAAGGGCTCCTTAGCTAGGAGTTCTCCACGGGGGTCCCTGAGCCTCCTGTAGCCAGTCCTGCGTAAATCTCGGAAGGGGTCACCTGCCTACATACGGAGAGAGCACTTTCTGTCTGAAACATTCCTTCTGAGGCGCAAGACCCTGTGTCAGCAGAGAGGACGTGGGTAGACCCTCCTTGCTCTAAGGACACAGAATGAAAGGCAGCAGGGGCCCAGTAGGAAGTAACTGCAGTGAGCGAACTTTCTGGCTGTGTCTGGGTGGGGAAAAATCTGAGAGTCCTAAGCCCGACTCCTGGAGGCATTGATGACCTCACCTTGCCCACGGCCACTTCCTGATGTCCCATCAGGATCCCCTGCCTACACCCAGCCTTCAGGAGTAGTCTGGGACCCCCAGGTGTGTGCCTGCAGCCTCGGGGACACAAACCGGGGGCTCCAGCCCACGAGCACAGCCAGTGGGAAGCAGGGAGCAGACAGCTCCCAAGGGCCAACAGTGGCTCGTGCAAAGGCACAGAGGCTCCGACTCCGAGCCCAACAGCACCACCGATGGCCCCTTAGAAGCAAATACCCCTCTCTCCTAACTGCACCACGGACGCAGCACCATCTCTGGGGGGCTTCCGTTTGCGGTCTCTCCCGCTGACTCTCACCTATGGCGCTGGCTGCTTCTCTTTTCCCGTTTTTCGCCCTGTTTTGCTGTTGTTTTTGTGCATTAGCTGCCGCTGCTGCTGTTTGGAAACCACATGTAAGCTGAAGAGTTTTTTTTTTCTGTATTTTTCTCCCTACCTTTTTTTTTTTTTTTTTTCCCCTAAAGCCAGAAAGTGAGCAAGGTCGTAGAACTTCCTTAGAAAAGTTCACTCGCAGTGTGGTAAGTTCAGCTGGTTTTCTTCCCTCAACGTTTCTTCTGGTTTTTCTTTGTTTCTTCAATTTTTTGTTGTTGGTTGTCGTTTCCTTCGGGGTGGGAGGGAGTCCAGTGCTTTCCCCACTCGATACACCCTTTTTCTTTTGCGATCATCTGCGGCTTCTCTTCTAGGGACGGGTTTGCAAACCCCAAGCAGCTCCCTCTGCAGAAGGTGCACACACAGCCACCTAGCCACGGGCCTCACGTTTGATCTTCTGCTCGGGGCTTTGAGGAGGAAGGACCCTGCTGCCCTTGGGGCTGCACGGCGTGTGCATCTTCCGCAGCAGCCCAGGGAGAAGGCCATCGAACTGTACCATGAAATAAATTGGCTCAGAACCATAGCTCATCTAAAAAAAAAAAAAAAAAAAGAGAGAGAGAGAGAAAATTCCAAATTTCCCTCTGTGAGCTCTAGCAATCACACAGGTGCAGGTCGGGAGCTGATGCTTCTCTGTAGCGGCTTTTGCGGGTGCAGAAGGTGACCGTGCTGCATGGGTCCTGGCGATGCAGTCTAGCTGGCGTGTGTTGGTGGCCTCTGCATGAGATCCGATGTCCCTTACGCCCCCTGTCAGCCTCATCCGCATAGTGGGACAGGGAGAGAGGCAGTAGCCGTGGGGTGGAGGAAGAAGCAAGTCCCCAAGCTGTCCCTGTGCTCCCCAGGACAAGGCCTTATCAAGCTCCCCGGGCCTTGACCGTGACCGAGGGAGTAAAGGTGGGCTATAAGTTCACTCTTCTTGTAGGGGAGGGGCCTGTTACTCATGCACATCCAGCTTCGAGGGGGGTAGAGAGCAACACAGTGGCAGATAGGAGACCCCGTGGTAAGAGGCGAGAGCACTGAATGAGTAGGGCCTTCCCCATGGCGCCTGGTGGGGGTTCCGTCCTGTGGTCTGTAGAACAGCACGGACCCATCTCTCCTCTTCCTGCCATTCTCTCCAAGATTCGAGCACAGGGCTTGGTGTACAGGAAGGCCTCGGTCTCACTCATTCACTTGCTCATCAGAAACGAGCTGCTGAGTTCATGGGACCTAGCCTGCACTGTTAACATCAAACCAGTGAGTAGCAAAATGGCAGCCAGGGAACAGGACTCCCATGCATGGAACTGGCCCTACTTCCCTTGCCAAAGGACAGAAACCCACTGATGCTGACTTGCCCTTTTCTTCCCCCTCTGTTGAAGGTCCTTGTAAACCTGACTACCCCCGTGTGATCTATATCTTTACTTCATCTTTTTAACATAAATTCTAAGAATTCTGGGTTGAAAGCAACCTGTCATAGCTAGATGCATTTTAACGGAATTTAAACATGATTTTGAATTTGCTAGACGTAAACATCACAATAGCTGTGGTAGGGGGCGATTAAAATATGAGTGCTCGTCCCTTCTCTTCTTTGGTCCTCTCTCTCTCTGGCCTTCCCTCATGAGAAATCAGAACTTGCTGAATGGAAGACCTGCTGGTCCCTGGTGTGTCTTCGTGGCTGGTTTGCCACGGCTCCATGGCTTCACACACCAAGAAGGTGCCACAGGCTCTCAGGCAAGGCCTACGGGAGTTTCTCCACCCCGGAGGCCCTATGGAGAGTGGTGGGAACCCTCCCTTCCTTATTGCTTTTGAGGTGCACACTGTGGGTAGAGGATGTTTAAGGACTTTGTTGACAAACCCAGAGTGTACTGGGAGGCCAGTTGGACCACTGGGTGCAAACTGCAGGAGAGGAGAACTCCCACAGCCCTGTGGAGGCCCTTCAGGTAGACCGTGTAGGCTGAGGGTGTGAGAGAGGAAGGCTGGTACCCAGACAAGATGTTCAAACATCTCCAGGCTGCTTTTCACAAGAAGTGAGTATTGGGAAAGGCAAGAATGATCTCAGTGAAGCTCTGTGAAGAACTTTTAATGATGTCTCTTCATCCCAGAAGTAGTGTTGGGTCAGTGGTTCTGCAAAGTCTGTTAACACAGCATTTAGAACGAGAAAATACCAGACACCTTCCAAGTGTCTCAAGTGTGCATGTGGGACAAATTACAGAGATGTTTTCAGGGCTAGCTGAAGGAGAAAAATCTTCCAAGCTCCTGAGATTTTTAGCATCTATATGATAAAAGGTCCAAACTTCAAAAAAAGTTTATAAATTCCCTGCTGTTCTTTTGTGAAGACTCTAATGGGGGGTGCATTCCGACCTTTTGGTTCCAGTGGTGGAAATGGATTTGCATTGATGCAGGCCATGCTCCCTGTGCTCTGGGGGCCACACCACCTACCCACGAGATGTGGCCGTGTCTGAGGAAATGGTCTATGACTGTAGAATAGTGGCAACTTTCAGAGTAATTGAGGCTGGACCCCAAGAACTTGGTCTAAAACATCCCAGTGTTCTAATCAAATGGAATTAACCAACCAACCAATATGCTTTTCAATCTGGTAGCCATTTTCTATCAAAATGCTAGACCTCTCTAAAGGGAGATCTATATGAATATGTCATCTCCTACCTCCTGCAAACTATAAAACTCAACTAGTTGAATAGTCGCTTTCCCATGTCACTGGGAAAGATGTGTAAAAAGACCATCCATGTCATGGGACTAATAATGGAAAAACTAAGGAGTAAAGCTACACAGTTCATAGACCAAGGATGTGGACCAGCTGCCATTTAGGACTAATTGGTGGCAAGAGGCCTGGATCCAGGTGGTTGGATAGCTCAGTCGGCTGTTCTCCCATGCCAATGTCCTTTCTTTTCTTGGTAAAAGAGAAAACTTTGGAGAAAGCGAATTGTTCTTTCCAAGTCTTAAGACGTATTATGACATGGAGGGATTATCTGTTAAAGGCCAGAGATGGCCCCTTTTACAGGAGATGCTAAGGAGTAGTTTCATGTGCTGCAGAAGGAGCCTTGCAATCCCCAGTAGAGGCAATGCTGCGTGAGCTTCTCCTTCCAACGGAAACTTGATTCTGAGTCACCCAGAACTTGAGTATACAGTGCAATTGTCAGGGGATGGCTGTGCCGAACATCGTGTAGTTGGGGCTGCTGGAGCCACGGGGCCTGCACAAAGCCCCGCTGATTTGACAGGAAGGCTCAGGTCTAAGACTGAAAGTCTATGGCATAGTGCAGCTAGTCCATGTTGTACCTTCATTCAAAACAGAAGACAGGACTCCGATGGGCCCAAGCCCCACAGATGGCCAGCACGGTGCAGGCTAGATTTCAGCCCCTACTTGACCTTCAGCTGCCCTTGGGCAGTGAATGACCCACACCACTGCACATGGTGGGGGCCTGGTCCGAGAAGGCCCAGTCCAAGAACTCTAACCTACAGCAGCCGCACAAGGGCGGGGGGGCCCACACATGGTTTCAGGTTATATGAACCCAGCCTGTCTCCCCTGAGTCCTGTGCGCTGGGAGGCTTCCTTTCACTATGGCTGTAAAACACGAAAGCCCCAGGGGGAAACATGAGGTGCATCACTGTGGCTCATGTTTGCATCTCTGTTCCCCTCCTCCTCTGATTCCTTCTGGGGGGTCCTGGTGTGACCGCCTGGTGGAGCAGGGGACTTCTCCAACTCAAGACTGCTCCCTACCACTCAGCGCCCAGCAGCCTGCCGTTCTCTGCCATCCTCCTGGTTCTGCTGCAGACAGATGACAAGGCGGATGTGAGGGTGTCCAGAGCAGAAAGGCTTGCTGCCCCCTTGCTCTCTCTTAGGCATGCTCATTCCCTCGGGGCCTCCCGAGAGCCGGGAGGGCCCTGCCGTGGGCTGACTCTGACACAGAGGCCCGGGATGCCTAGGAGGAGGGCGAGAGGAAGCAAAGCTCCTTCCACCAAGGCTCAGCAGCGGCCATTTGGTTGTCGCTTTCTGGGTGGTGGCCGAAGCTACCTGGGGAGGAGAAGCTAGAGAGGGTCTGCTTCTTGTGTACAGTTCTGTGGAAGCGGCCCCAGGGGGTGATGCACTCGAGGGGGGTCAGCAACAGGGCAGCAGCCTCCCTGGAGGCTTCCACCTGGGCCTGGCGGTTCGGCTGAAGCCCCAGCTGCCCGGGCCTCAGGCTCCAAAGATGGGAAATGGGGTTGCTGGGGCCTGATCAAGCACCAGAGGCCCCAGAGGGGAGCGGAGATGAGGACCAGGTATTCACCTACCTAAGAGAACTCGGCAGTGGAGCTTCGTCAAGGTGCTCCTTGGAATTGAAACCACAGGGCCGGAAGCTCAGGGTGCCTGGCCTGTTCCCAGTGGCATCTCCACAACAGGCGGCAAGGAATGCAGCAGGAAAGTCAGGCGGGGACCAGGAAGCTCTGGGAGCCAGCTGTCACCCGCCCTCGCCCCTCCCGCCCTCGCCCCTCCCTCCCTCTCCCTCTCCTCCCTCCCTGGCCACAAGGAAAGCTGAGGGAGGAAAAGTCAGCAGCTCACCTCCCCGCCTTTCCAGGCAGTGCTGCAGGAAGAAACCCCAGCTCCAGGCCCAGATGCTGCACAGGAAGTGGAAGGCTGAGGCTCCGGGCAGAGGGGGTATTGGGCGGCCCAGCAGGAGCGGCTCCTTCCCCCAGGAGGCTGGTCCCCCTCCCCCTCAGCGTGTCATGGCAGACAGCCACCCACCCCTAAGGAATGAGTTCTCAAATACCTAGACTCAGCAGAGCCCCCAAAGGGCTTTGACCTCAATCAAAAAAAAAAAAAAAAAAATCCTTTTGGGCTTCCAGCCGAGGACTCTTGGCTACAAATCTTTACATAGGGTTGGTTTTGATTGCAAAACCTGGGGCCCCTCTGGAACCACAGGGTCAGACTGTCGTTCTAGACTCTCCCACTTCAGAGCCCTGAGGCCCAGCAATAGTGAAACCGTGGCCTGCCCAGAGATGGAGATGGACTTCCATGGTAGTATCTGGGAAGGAAAGCATAGACTCCTGCCTCTCTTGAGCAGTGAGGACTTCTGGGACCCTGTGGAATTCGTCATCAGCCCCAGGCGGAGTGGCCCCTGCTTCTAGCCACAGCTTGCTAGCTGTGCAACCTCAGGCAAATCGCTAGCCCTCTCTGAGCCCTG